GGGTCCAGGGTTTGGGGTTGAGGGTGCAGAGGAGGGAAATCGCAGATATTGTCTGTTGGGGTTTTGTGTCTGAGTAGGAAGTTCTGTGGCTTTGATAGAGGTTAGGTGCCGGGTGAACGGCCGTTTAGGGTTGTGCTGTGAGAAATCTGGGCCGGGAAAGGTAGTTGCAGCAAGCTGAGAAGCACACGAATTGGTGCAGTCGCAGCAGTGGCAGCAGGGGTAATTTTTTAACGCTCGTACCACTAGCAGGACAGGCACCAGCAATCATTGGCGAAACAAGGGGCGAGGACGTGCTAGGATCGGAAAATATTGCAGCAAATTTGGGGGGGGGGGGGGGGGNNCGTGGCCGTTAAGTCCACTGGCGCACCTCAAACATCCAGAGATAAAAGCGCTCTGTCTTTTGACCTGAACCCTAAACCCTAAACCCTTTCATGAGCGGTTGGCATGGTACACTCCTACACTGGCACCAGGGCTTTCTAGACTTGGCAGCAGCAGCGGCAGCTTCGGTCTTTCAACCCCGATTTCCCTGCAAAACCCCATAGCCATAAATCCATACCCCGCCCGGCAGCTAAAAGCGGTTCTTTGTGGGTCTATGTTAGCGCCCTCTTATTAAACCAAAGGGCAAGAAAGAACAGCATGTTAGCTTCTTCTGTTTTTTCTGAAGCTCCCGTATAGAAGACTTGAGGACACGACAGTCTGACGTTGCCGTCTGGCACGCAGTGGGCTCCTTGCATGGACCTGGAGTTGGTATCTATGCCTTAGCATGGCTGGGGTAGCAACAGACATGATGATCAGAGCAATGCTAGTCTTAGTCACGTCAGAATAGTAGCAAGATTACAAGAACGGTGACAACACCTACAAGAACAGTTGGCAATAACGATGTCAATAGCAATGTGACCAGCAACAGCAAGTCGAATAACCATTGCAGTCATCACAACACTGTTGAATAATGCATAAATTTGAAAGCAAACGATGAGCAGTACAACAGTCGAAAACCGATATCAATATTGAGATACAAGCAGTGTTAGTTTGTATAGTCTAAAGACTAGCAAGATCAGTACCACTTGTCATATCATTGGGTTTTGCAACGAGGACAGACATTTGTTATAGTGGCACTATCTGGGAATCCGCAGAAGCCAGGTTCAGGGTTCAGTGTTTCGAGATTTAGGGATTTGAGTCTGGGGTTCGGGGTTTCAGATTCTGTTTAGCAGATTCGCAGCTTCATCAAAGTGTCTTGGAATCCACGCCTCAGGTACAGATGCGGCCAAAGATGTTCCGTAATCTAGATGAGATATACGCCGGTCTCTGCGATGGGATGACCTACGAGGATACTTCCGGGCTCGTGGCGCCTTGCGATTTTTGCCGACATGCTTCTCATTGTCTCTCTCCGAGAACCCGATTGAGAAGCACAGCTGATATCTGCTTTCGCAAGCTTTGAAAGTGTTCTCGGAATCTCGTTCTCGCTGCTTCCGCTTCGGGGATGATGACTGCTGCAGATGCTTGCTTGTTGCTGGTGAGGGTCGTGTTGCCGCTGCTGCGTTGCAGGAGATCGAGCGCGAATATCCAGAGGAAGCGACGGCACGGAAAGGGGACAAGTCTCTTGGTGTAGCAATTTCGCAGCTGACCCCACAGCTAGGCACGCTCACGCAGGCAAAAGTTTGTCGCATGCGAGCATAAGGTGTGAAACCTGACCGTGGCAATTGCCGTGGCAACGCAAGAGATCAGGGATTACTTTTCTTCGGTTCGTAAGCACCGACTCGGCCTGGCTTCGTCTATCTTGCTTTTGAATATGGGAGTTTCCGAAAATTAGGGTACCATATTTTGGGGTCCTTATAATAAGGAACCTATTATTTAGGGTATTATATTAGGGTCCCCTATTTTCGGAGACCCCCATATAGCTCCCGTGGAAGCATTAGGTTCGAATATCGCTATCCACGCGGGGAGAGCTACACGGATCTCATCTCCCGCCTCGAACCCATGGCGCATGAGCAGCTTGGTTCATGGAAAGACATGGTTGATGCTGGGGTCGAGAGAATGGTGCATGCCTCCAAGATTAGGTGTTAAAGAAACTCTTTCATCACGACTATTTATGATCATGAATATGACCAGTGTCATTCGCGTTCGTTCTATTCGTATTCCTGTTCTTATCGATTTTCCTTTGCAGTTCAAGCGTCGCATGCCCCGAAATCCGCTCTTCGAAGCAGAGGATGGAGCGGGCGCAGGAGACTCTGCTTGTGGTGGCCCACCAGGCCCAGCAATCGGGCTGTTTTTTTTACACTACGGGAGTCATAAGGCGATCAGAGGGGTGTTGCGAAGGTCTTAGTAGCGGTCAGGAATATTGATTCTTAGGGTTCCTAGCCCCAGCTCAGTATTCGGGCCTCTACACCGAAGTGCTTGGTGACGGTTCTTGGCAAGCAGGAGCTTACATGGTTCTATCTGGGGCATCTAACGTGGGGTTTAGGGTTAGGGGTATGGCACCTGCACTGGTTATCGCTGGTTGCAGGGATTTGTGGCGGCCTGGTTTACGGCTGCCTCAAGTGAGTTTGGGTTCTCGTGCGGTTGTGGGGTTCAGGTCGTTACAGCTTGGCCAAGAAACCCCAGACACCCCCAGAATTTGCACGATACCTCGGCTGGGGACCTTTCATCTCGATTTGTGGAAAGGACGTTTTTCGAAGCGAAGGTGTGATTGCGTTGTCTTTGTTCCCCAAGCTTGAGTGAGTCAGAATGTCTGAGCTGGTCTATGCTGTTCAGCAACAATGCCTCCTTTGCTTTTGACCTGATATACATGGCCTGTGCGATTCTGGAATCCATAATCTAGATCCAGACTCTGGATACGACTCCCAGGTACATGGATGCTAACTCCTCAACCCTGGCTCCCTAAGCCCTTAATCCCAATGCTCTAACGGTAAAAGGGGAAGAGCGATCTGCCTTCAGAAGGCAGGCTTGGTCACGCATGCACTTGGGTTGACCGACGCCTCATGATGGATGGCTGGCGGCACTCTAAAACATAACGCCAACAGGCCTATAAGCTTGAAGCCCTACACTAGCACCGAGAGAGGTTTCCTTGATCAGGTGGCTTCGCAGAAGACACAAGGCCCATGTCAGGGCCAAAGGCCCCAAGTACTGCAAGGCTCCTTGAGATGAGGACGCGTAGTTTCTGCCGTCTCGTTTATGTTAAGAAAGTCTCACGTAGAAAGTCCCTAAACCCTAAACCCTAAACCTTAAACCCATTGCCAGAACCTGAGGGTAAGCTTGCAATCCATCTTGAGCACAAGCTGAGGCCATCCTGCGCGTTCTGTACGCCTACTTCATGGGTATGCGGCGTGAGGCTGGTGCTCATAAACCTTGGGGATGAGGGAGAGAGACGAAGACTGAGACTTCTCCAGAAATATGCCACAGCACCTGATACCTGCGACCACATGCAATGAAACCAGACAGACATCTTGAATTGTCGTGTTTGTTGGTAAGGACTCTAGATCATTGGTTGGATACCCTACTCGTACGACTGCTGCTACATACTCCGACTGTGTTCCACCGCGGTTGCTCCTTGTGGTGGCTGCGGCCATCGTACTACAAGTCGCATTCCTGGAACTGCGATTTCGCGCCGAAGCTCTTTCTAGCACCAGCAAAGCGACCAAAGCTTCACGACTTCAGCTGCAAGCCTGCTTTCCAAGTCCCCTGATCCCCAAACTACACCCTGAACTAGGTAGTACCGGCCGGAAACCCTCAAGTTGGCCCAAACCCTAAACCGCCCAACCCTACTAAGAAGACCTTAAACCAGGCCGTCAACCTAATCTTGGCCTTAAGACCTCAACCTCGATCCTCTGTTTCCTAGGTGGTATTAGGGAGACCCCTTTACAGGGGACCCTTCTTAACCTACTTATGACACTCTTAAAACAGAAATCATTGACAGGGTGTATATCCCAAAGAGTCCCCTTATCTTAACTCCTACTGTTTCGCAGTGCAGGAATGCCCAGATGTGCCGGGCTCTAAGCTTCGAAGCTCAGGGTTTAGGCACGATGGGCTTAGGGGTTTAGGGTTGAGGGATTCTCACCTTCAGTTCGTCTAAGGTCTGATTTAGGGTTTAGGCTTCAGGGGTTCAGGGTGTAGGGATGCCCACCTGCAGTTTTAAGGTCTGGGGTTTATGGGGTTTAAGGAAGCTTTGAAGGCAGGAGCCCCCTGTTGTTTGGGAACTCTCCCCTCAGGGCTGAGGGTTGAGGGTTCAAGGTTATGGTTGAACTGGTTTCGGATTTTAGTGTGAAGGTCTAGCGGGTTTCAGGTTGAAATCGGTTTAAAGTTCAGAGTTTGTAAGTAAGGTTCAGGGTTTAGGGCTGCAAGGTTTCTACAGGATTTCTGGGCTTGGAGGTTGAGTGTTGGATGCGTTGAGCGTCACGTCCTCAGAGTGTCCAGCTAGCACTCCTACGCGAACTTGTAAAACCAAGCCGTTGACGATCATCATGACTAGTGACTAGTGGCGCCTTCCAGAAGTAGACAAGGTCGATTCCCCTCAACACCGTCATCAAGCTGACGCCGACCGCAGAAGGCCAGCAAAGGAGATGATGCGTCGGCATCCGTATAGACCTCTTGGCTGTGTGTAGATGAGTATATGCATAGTACCTTGCTACCAAATTGGGAAGTCAGCAGGTAGGGTCTTTAGCCGGATTTTGAGACCGAACTTTAAGGCTTGCTAAGAACAGGCCTTCGGCACAGGCTTCACGGTCGAATGATGTGCAGATGCCGAACGAATCAGAGCCTCCCTCCCGCTTCACATATCCTCGAAACCTTGCTTTGTGGTTGCAAGGCCTTGCAACACTCGTTGGGCATACCTGTTGTTATTGTCAGAAGATAGCTGCTGAAGGATTCTGGGTCCTCGGTGTTTTGCAGACCCCAGTCTCCAAATGGTCGGAGCGCTAGTGTGTAAAGTGATGAATGGCCACTGAAGCAGAGGTTTCGCGAGGAAGCTTTGGGTGTTACCACCACGTCTCCCCGAAACCCGAAACCCTACGTTGTCTTGGTTCCACAATTCCTGCTCGCAACAAACCGTTTATAATCTGATTCGTAAACAAACGGCATCGGCATCTCGGTCTGTCGGATTTCAATTTTCATTCGCAACCAGACAGCGTCACCATCTCGCTAGAACGTGTAACGCTGCTCCTAAACCCTTACCGCCAAACCCTAAAACCTCTCTGGCAGGCTGCAGTGAGGAGCGGTTTACCTTGCTGTCATCCTGGCATCGTTTCAGTCAGAAGCTGCGAGAACTGTTGAAGTACAGTTTGAACCACCACCTGCCAGACTCCCACCCGGCGCCAGGCCGAACCTCAAGGGAAAGGAGCTTGATCCTGCGAGTCATTGACCTTCCTCCTCGGAGGAGGCAGGGGGGTTAAATGAAGAGCCAAAGAGAACATGTGGGGTGTCGAGTCAGGCTGCAGCTAACCCGAAACCCTAAACCACCGGTTTTGGGTGCGTGTCTTGCGCTATGGAGGGATGGTCTCGCGATTTCAGAGCTTTGACAGAACTTTGAGGCTTCCGAATCTAATGGGATGGGGGGGGGGGGGCTCTGGGGTCCTTTTGGCACCTCCTCCTTTTCGGGTTTGGGGTCTGTTTGTCTTCGGCTCTGGCTGGCTTCGTTGCTTGCATCCACTTCTTCGTCCGAGCTTTGTCCGGATTGAGAAGCATCGTCTCGTTGCATCGTGACTGTCGCTGAGGTTCCACTTCAGGGCTGAACCTGTGCCATTTGAATTGTCTTCCGGCTTCAGTTTCACGCGCAGATGCGACCCTGAAATGAGATTCTTTAAGATATTGTAGCTCTCGGATTGCCGGGTACCTGGCTCAACCCGCCGGTGGTGCAACCGCAGTCAAGCAAAGGCGTTGCAGTCAAGCTCCTTTTGGCATGCTTTGCAACCTTCCCACAAGATCTTGATGTGGAGTGTGAGCCTGCGATTCGTGGGCGTGGGTCCCGCACCCGATTTTCAGGCGGCTCTTTCATGTTCTGTGGCCGCTTTGACACTATTTAAGACCTCCACAGCCACGAGTGACGCAATTGATTCTTTTGCTCCTGTGGCCTTGCAAGTCCACAGAGCCTGCAGGCTTCAAAACAAGGAGCTGGCAGGCTCTGAAGTGACATGGCAAGGGCAACGAAGTTGCTCGCCCTGCACGACCTCGTCTTTTGGAGACCAGTGCCTCTTGGCTGACACGGCTCCAGTCCACATTCTAAGTCAGCCCCCCTCAGCGAACGGGAGGATGCTGCGAAACAGTCACAGCGCCACTTGTCTCCAGAAGGCGCATGCGATGCTGGAGACGTGCTGCGGGCCAAAAATATCAGATCTACTCTGGTGAGGGAGAGCCTCGGTGAGTTTGACTTCACAGTACCGATCCAAAACACCGCAAGTGCCAGGCTTTTTGTCTTTATTTGTGTTTCCAATGTTCGCCATAGTCGTAACTCACGCACCACGGAGAAAGCTTAATTCTGCGCGAGCAGACTTGACTCTACAAGCGATGGTCCATTTCCGTGTCCAAAGATATCAAGCTATGCTGCGATGGCTCCCACAACCTTAAATCCGTAAGAAGCTGTCGATACCACTGCGGCAGTTGATCACCTTCCCCACGTGACAACTCTCTTATCTGCTAATGCGGATTTGCAATAGTCAAAGCAGGAAGGGGGGTCACCTGTGTCTTTTTTTGGGGGTTCACTTGTGTCTTTTTTTTTGGGGTCGCTTGTGTCTTTTCTGCTGGTTCGGAAGCAACAGTCTCGAACGAAAGGCCCCCCGGGGGGGCCTCTCTTCCAGCCACCCGCGGCTTGGAACAAACCTGCGGGAAGTAACGAAGTAAAGAAACACACCATGAATGAATGAATGAATGAATGAATGAAT